CCTTATGTGGATCGGCAGAACCGAATCTGTGGGTTTCTGGACATCGAGGAGAATGAGAACAGCGGCAAGTTTCTGCGGAGGTACTTTATTCTGGACACGCAGGCCAACTGCCTTCTCTGGTACATGGACAACCCCCAGGTGAGAGGTGGTATGGGAAGGGGCAGGGTGGCCGGCCGCCCATCATTTCCGGGGGGATGCACACAGGGTTAGCCTCAGGGGCTCCCTCTGTCGTGGGCAGCACAAGCTGCTGGTCAAGAGGGAGGGGAAAACTCCACAAAGGTGCGCGCGTGTGCGCGCGCACACACACGCACACACGCACACATACACACGTGCACAGGAAACCATCCCAGATCTTAGCTGGAGGAGGAGGAAGCTCATCTCTCTCCTGCCCCTGGGGATCTGTTGCCTTTTCTCAGGCCTAGGAATTTAACCCTTGCAAAAGTCCGGCAGAGGCCGGCTGGGCTGGATGCAGGCTCTGAGGCGTGGCTTCCTTCCTCTTACCTGTGTCAGGAGTGCAGCCTCTTGACCACTCCTGCTCTTCCAGTCTGGGGCTCCTGCCCAGCAGAGAATTGACCTGGTTCCCTGAACTGGACAAAGGTCGGACCTGTTTGGTCTCCTGCTCAGGGAGTCATAGGATCCTGGGTGGGAGGTGACTTTGGGGGCCACCCACTTTGTGACAGATGAGAACCTGAGGCTCACATTGCAGTTGACTTTGGCAAGGATGCGGCAGAACGGGGTGACGCGCTTAGCGTTCTGGGGCATCAGGCACGAAGACGGCCCCCGAGGCTTTATTGCTGTGCCCGGGAATCCCTTGAATCATCACCAGTCTGGGAAAAAGTTGCTCTGCTCCTGATTTGGGATCTCAGGTCTTCTTTTCTGGCGCTCTGAGTGTTGTTCACTCTTCCCTTCCTGCTGCCCTGGAGCAGTCTGGTGGGTCCCACACCCCTTCCCGCCCCAAGGCCTGGCATGGCCTGTGGACCCAGCAAGGTAGTGGGTCACGGCCCTGTTGGGGCGGGAAGGGGTGTGGGCCGAGAGCTGACTCTCGTTCAGAGACTTGGGCAGAGGAGAGTCTGAGTGTTAGGGGAGGGGTTTTGCTTTAAGAGGTGAAGTGGAAAAAATCCGGGTACTCACCCTCTAGAGGCCTTTGGCATTTGTCCTCTGGATTTGATGGCTGAGAGAAAATGCTATAAATACAGACAACGTACTCAGGTCGCTGCCACTAATCACCTTCTCTGGGAAAGACTTAACCCTAAATAGAAGCCCCATGTTTCACCCCACATCCCTGGTAAACCCTTCTGTGGGCTACTTTCATTTAACGTGCTGAGCGTGCAGAGTGAAACCTGCACACAGACCCTCCCATCCTTGACGTACCTGGAATGCTCGCCTCTTACCATGTTTTGGTCTTGGGTTTGCCTTTGGGCTCTGCTGCATCATTTTCCCTCCGTTGCTCCACACGGGTGCCCACAGCTGGGTCAACACATCTACTATGAAAGGAAGTAGCATTTAAGGTGCTGCCTTCCCACCGCTGGAGGGATCGGAATCAAGTCTTTGTTGCCAGTACACTTGGCTTCTGATGGGCCAGGGCTGAGCCCCAGGCTGGGGTCTCTGGGTCTATTCTTTTCCCTTTTCCCTTTATGTACCTTCTCCGGCTCACCTGCCTTATTAGCTCAGGTGTTTCCAATGGATTTTTGTCCTGATTTACCTGCTTAGTGCCATGCTTCCTGCCAGGACTGTTGTTAACTGAAATTCACATGCTTGGGGAATCCTGCCCAGCTGTTGCCAGCTCCCTCCCCTGAGACTGGACCCTCCTTCACGCCCGGGGCCACAGGCTGAGAGTCTTGCTGTTGGTGACGGATCACCCAGGACCACACTGCCACAGTGCCGTCTCGGGTCTCAACTGTTGGCAGTGCTCGGGATTTCCCTTGCTGTGTCCTGCCCTCTGACTTGGTTGTCCCTTGGTTCCAGAACCTGCACTTCCCTCGGACGCTGTGCCTCGGGCCGCCTTGCTGGGGTCTCTGGGGTCAGCCTCTGCAGCAGGTCGCACCGTGCCCACGGCAGCCTCCTGCACCTCTCTGCCCCCTGAGCTGTCAGGATGCTCTTCGTTCTAGAGCCTTCTTTGAGTTTGAGTTACAAATAGAACTTGTGGTCCCGGCTCGAGATTCTTTACATTTTCCCTGGAAGCAGAGGTTTTAGCTGGCTTGGCAGATGCCTAAAAAAGGAGAGTCTTGCTGTGACATAGCGATAGTTCAGAACATTTTACTTCTTCTGCAGTGGTTAGCTCAGCGCTTTGTTGTGTTAACGCCAAACAGCCGTTCCAACTAAAGGGTAGATCTTTTCTGTAAGTTGTAAAATGGTATCAGTGAGCATTTGTTACTATGTGCCACGCACTGTTCTAAAGACTTCATTGGTTTCTTTTTTTTTTTTTGAGGATATAAATGATTTTATTGCATAACAGTTAGTAGGCATTTTGGATACAGTTGCTCTAACTTGGGACTTCCCTGGTGGCACAGTGGTTAAGAATCCGCCTGCCAATACAGGGGACACGGGTTCGATCCCTGGTCCGGGAAGATCCCACATGCCGCAGAGCAACTAAGCCCCTGCGCCACAACTACTGAGCCTGCGCTCTAGAGCCCGCGAGCCACAACTAGTGAGCCCGCGTGCCACAACAACTGAAGCGCATGCGCCTAGAGCCTGTGCTCCGAAACAGGAGAAGCCACCGCAATGAGAAGTCCGCACTCCGCAACGAAGAGTAGTCCCCGTTCACCACGACCAGAGAAAGCCCATGTGCAGCAACGAAGACCCAACGCAGTCAAAATTAAATAAGTAAATAAATTTATTTTAAAAAATCAATTAGTCTAACTTTAAGACTTTTTCACTTTTTCTAAATAAAACATTTAGAAAAATGTTTTTATTATCTCACTCTTTTATATTTTTATTTATTTATTTATTTTTTATTGGAATATAGTTGATTTACAATGTTGTGTTAGTTTCCAGTGTATAGCAAAGTGAATCAGTTATACATATGTGTATATCCACTCTTGTTTTAGGTTCTTATCCCATATAGGCTCATTGGGTTTTCATTTCATCCTGACAGGTCTAGTTGGTAGGCATCATTATCTTCATTCTAAAGGTGAGGTGGGTGAAGCAGAGAGGGAAAGAAATTTGCCCATGGTTTTGTCATAAGAACGTGACCGAGCCAGTATTCTAAACCTGGCCGTCTGCCTCCAGCTCGCCTGCTATTATTGCTGAGAATGAGACAGTCATCCTAATGCTGCTTGGGAGGAAGGAGAGCTCTCAAAGGTGAGTCTGTGATTAAGAAAGAGAAGCTGGGGGACTCTCAGGGCTGGGAGGTCCTCTAGAGGGCAGGTGCTCGTCTGGCTTTTGATCCAAGTGTCCAGCATTTGATAAATGTGAGCTCACTGAATGAACGAATGAGGCTATGAGAAGGGACGCCTCTGTGAAATGCAAAGTGTCCAGCACTGCTCTCCTGCGACTGGGGATGGAGTCTACACCCAGTGCAAGCTCTGCAGAGTGGGGTGAAGCAGGGAGCCAGGAGTCAGGAGGAGATGAATGGGAGGTGACCCAGAAAAGCAAACTGGGGGGCGGGGGGTTGGCCTTTCCCTGTGGAGAAGGACATTGGGGACTGTGTGTAGTTGCTGAACATCTTAAGTTTATAAGGAAAAGGAGACACCTGATATAATAGTTTAGGTATTTAATAGGCATTAATAAGCAGGATTTTTTCTGAACTCAGGTCTTTGATCTTTGCCTGTTTAAACCACTTGGAAGTCGGTGTTTGGGAGCCTGTTTTTATTACCACTGCTACTAGTATTACTAACTGCAGGTTATACTTACTGTGTGGTTGCCATATACCAGCCATTGTGCGGAATGCTTGGCACGTGTTATCTCATTAGGTCCTCCCAGTAATCCTGGGGCCCGGGGACTCTCTCACTTTCTCTGCAAGGTGCAGAGAAGGTCAGCGGCTTTGTTCAAGGCCATGCAGGTGGTAAACGCAGCGCGGGCCCTGGAGCCAGGTCTGTGTGACTTCAGCGTCTGCATGCTTCATCTTTGTCTGCCTCTTTCCTCCAGCGGATATGTGTGCTCCGTCCTGTGCAGGGTCCTGGAGATGGTGTGGAGGGGAATTCACCAGGAAGCTTCAGGTTTCGTTGGGGAGGTGAAAACAGCACACATAAAACTACAGTGCTAGTGGTTGCTGAGGGGGTAGGGGGGCAGGGGAGGGATGGAGTGGGAGTTTGGGATTAGCAGGTGAAAGCTTTTATGTAGAGAATGGATAAACAACAAGGTCCTACCGCGTAGCCCAGAGAACTGTATTCAGTATCCTGTGATAAACCACAATGGAAAAGAATATATTAAAAAAAAGAATGTATATATATATACACGTATAACTGAATCACTTTGCTGTACAACGGAAGTTAACACAACAGTGTAAATCAACTATACTTCAATAAAAAAATAAAATAAATTTACTGGGAAACAACAACAACAAAAACGAAAAACAAAACCCTACAGTGCTAAAAATCCCAGTCCCTCTTTATTTATTATTTTAAAATAAAATTTTAAAATTTATTTATTTATGTTTGGCTGCGTTGGGTCTTCGTTGCTGCACACGGGCTTTCTCTAGTTGCAGCGAGTAGGGGCTACTCTTCGTTGCAGAGCACAGGCTCTAGGTGTACGGGCTTTAGTAGTTGTGGTGCATGGGCTCAGTAGTTGTGGCTCACAGGCTCTAGAGCGCAGGCTCGTAGTTTTGGTGCACGGGCTTAGTTGCTCCTCAGCATGTGGGATCTTCGCGGGCCAGGGAATCGAACCTGTGTCCCCTGCATTGGCAGGCGGATTCTTAACCACTGTGCCACCAAGGAAGTCACCCAGTCCGTCTTTATAACAAGGTAGCGTATCATTAAAGTGAACAGCCCAGATGCCAATCGTTGGGGTGAAGGAGAAGGGGTTGCAGTTTTCCCCTGCGGTCCAGGGAAGATGTAGGGCCTGGAGGTGGAGTCTCAGATGGAACGGTCCCAGGCCTGGGAGACAAGAGATCAAGGATGAGGTTCTGGCTCTGCCACTGAGTTGTTTTGTACATTAGGCATGTCATCATAGGCACTTTGGGTGATCCTTAACCCGGCTTT